TAAATTTATATATTATTTTCATATACATTTTACTAATTTCCTTTCATCTCTCACACTTCTATTATAGCGAAAGGGTAAATAGAAATATTAAAATATCTCTGCTAATTAATTCCCTTTTAATGTGCATGAATTTCGTGCACCGGACTATATATATATATATACACACATACATACACATATGTGGCTCATATTAAACTCCTATTGAACAGCACGGGTATCAGAGGTGTAAAATTACCTATCCAATGTTTCAACGAATAGCACATCAACTGTAGAATAAAAGCCTCAACTGGATGATGAATTAACTTACTAACCTTCTTTTTTTAAAAATGACAAGGAAAGAATGATGACTTACCTGCAATTATATAAAAGAATCCTACATAGCACCCCCTCTTGGGGCTGTTTAATTCTGTCGCATTCTGAGGCGCACACTTCCTTCCCTTAACCCAGTGGTTCTCGGACTCCAGTGCACGTGAGCCACCTGGAAACATGTCTACCGTGCAGGTGCCCAGTCACTCCCATATATTTTGATTCTATTTCATCTCTGGGAGGGACCCAGAACCTGCTTCTTTTAAATACACACCCCAGGACTAAGAAAAACACGTAACCTGTGGCCTTTCTTTCTTAGGAAAGTATCTCCCTCTGCCACCTGTTAGGCAGTCAGATTAGTCTACAAAATATGTGGGAATTAGTAGCCTCACGAATAAAAAGCATTTGGCTAACCTGGGAAATAGAAGGGAGTATGAATGACTAAACACACCAGTGAGTCCCAAACCTCCTGAGTCAAACTCCTCCCCCTCACTGCCTGTGCTGGGACGGGAAGGAATGGCTGCGCTGACTCCATCTCCTCTGCCCACGTACAGGTTGTGGTATCAATAAAAACTAAAATGTCCACGGGGAGACAGGAAAAGGACGTACTTGGGTCTCCAAAACGGCACGATCGAGTCACTAAATACCTCAGAGCTCCCTATACCTGTTGTGTTTTGGGGCCACAGCTGATTCAGATTCGAGATGTTAATTCATCAACGTTTTTTCTGGGGTGTGCAGCAGGGTAGTTTCAGAGTTACCACAAAGTCAGGTACGGAATAAGTACAGGCCCGACTCCCTGCAGGTCTATGAC